AGGGCTGCAGTGAAATCATAAAATTAAGGCGGCTGAGCAGAAAACCCTTTGGCATTTACACAATCAAATGCAGTTTGAAAACGGGAATTCTTCATTAAGCAAAAAACCCCAATTCTTTTTATCCATTAACATTTTATCACATAGGGCAGAAAGTGCATTAAATGATTTTTCTTCATCCCCTTTTCATACAGCTGGGTTGTCTCACAGATGAATGGGACGTTACTGCTATCGTTACTTTTTTTTTTCAAGAAAGTAATCACAAAAAAAGTAAATCACATCCTCCTCCTTCTCATTCCTTAGGGTTTATTTCAGCTCTGCCCTGGGCTGTCTCTGCCTAGGTCGCCACCTTGACTGGTGCCATGTCGAACCCCCAGGCATTTTACTCTGAACTGTCAGTAAAGGAGAAATGAATCTGACTGATTCTATCTGCTGTAGGGCAGCCTGGGTGCCCTTTGGCCGTGGGTTGCTTGTGCAGGGCCTCATCTTCCAAATTTATTCACATCATCAGCCACACAAGGACTATGACAGTGAAGATCTGCAGGATCTGCTACCTGTATGATAGACTATTTGGGGAAAGAAAATAACCTGCTAGGTCCCAAAAGCTCATGATTTTGGGTTTTGAGCATTTATCCTACTCTGACTGACTGCGCATGCCTTAATGAAACGTTCTGTAATTTTGATTATCTAAATGGTTCTCCCAGCACACTCATAATTTCACTGAGAGATGGGAGGACTCCAGTTTGCCTAATGCCTTAATCTGTATGAGAGCCTTTCTAATTAAAGCAGACCTGTTACTATTAAAAAAAAAAAAAGCAGAACATTCTGTAATCCTGGATTATCAGTGATTGAACAAGAAACTTCAAATTTCTTTTTGAAATAGAGTATCACTCAGAAGCAAGAATTCCAGATCACAAAACCTAGAAAGCATTTTTCTTAAACCAAAATTTATTTTTACAATCACTGTGCACTTTCAGAACAATGCATAAGTTGCAAGAATTTGTGGGGGAAAATCAACTTTTTACATCTGACCAACTCTGACCTTGGCTACCAAACTTGTATTGTACTTGCCCAAACGGCTAACAGGACTGAGATCACAGACGTCAGATTTAGGCAGAGAACACTAAACTTCAGCATGCATCAGTCTGAAGTTGAATGCATAAAATTAAATAAAATTTGTTATCGGGCAAAATTTAAAAACTAAAAATCCAGCATGAAGTTCATACGTAAGGTATCAGTGCTCCTGCCTCCCAGAGTTCACAGAATGCTGTCCCACAACATCCCTACTTGGCGCCCAATGCCTCTTGAGATCACTCGCGGTGGTTGGCATCTCTTCACCTCAAGGTCTGCTAACCGGAACAGGGAGCATGGCGCGTCTGTACCGGACTCTCTGCAATCACAACGTGCAGCGCTGACTTTTCCAGCATTAGGTCTCATAGTCTGCTCTAAGTGGATGGAAAGCGTTACCTGTTAAACTGTGCGCTCTTGGTCGTTACTGAAAAGAAGCTTCTTTGGCCGTAAGTCTTGGCTGTAGGCTTTGGTCCCCACAGAAATGTTGCTACCACCACCTTCTGCCAAAAGAGATGCTTTCACAGAATCAACCAAGGTAAGAAAGCTGAAGACTGGCTTGGGAAGGGATTGCTGAGAACCCAAGAGGCCTTGCCCTCCAGGTCTTGAGAAAGGTCTGATGAACCTTCCTAACAGCAAAAGGCTTCCCAACGTTAGATTAAAAACTGAAGACAACAAAAAGTGCTTTAAAAGTTACGGGCCCGATTGGCACTGGAAACTGCTGAGAAGCACGGAGGAGACTAGTGACAAGGCTTTGGAAGACACGAGACAGCCAGTGAACTGCTCACTTCATTGTGTATCTATCACAAATCTGTGCATGCATATAACAAGTAAGCATTCAGACTGATACGGAACTAATTGCTTACAGAGTACCAGAACGTCAAGCTTTAAGCACCTACCTTGGATGTCAACAAGGAGCATCAGCTCCAGAATAATTCCTGCTCCTGACCGGTGCTTTAACTACTGCCTATATTGAAGTTACAAACCACTTACTGCCTCTTGTTGATTACAGAGATCACAGGCTTAATGAAAACATAGGGACAGCTGCTAATTAAGTACTCATATTGCCACTTCCTTTGCTTTAAATCAACATCCTTTCCCTCTAGCTTAAGTGAAATCAAAATTAAAGGCTCAGTTCCTGTTTTATCTGATGGAACGGGGCGATATTAGAAAAGCCCGTGTTCCATACCCCAGGAACACAGGCACAGAATCACACAATGTTTGGGGTTGGAAGGGACCCTCAGAGGTCACCCAGCCCAACCCCCCTGCAGGAGCAGGGACACCTTGAACCACATCAGGTTGCTCACAGCCCCGTCCAACCTGGCCTGGAATGTTCCCAGGGATGGGGCATCTCCAACCCCAGAACAGAATTTGGAGTCTTGAAACAGGCAAATCACAAAGAGCAGAATCTAAAAACCTCACAGAGAGGCCAGCACAGCAGGCAAGCATCTGAGCTCCCAGCCTTTTCTAGAGACTCTGTTCCCACAACAGCCACAGCAGACAACTCCAACCATGTCATTCAGAAGATTCTACGTGTTCTTTGAAAGGACCAAGGCTGTCACCGCCTGCCCCCCAGCTCCATCCCTCTAGAAGAGGATGTTGCCTTTTACGTGAGTCGGAATATTAGATCACTTGCACAGAAAAAGAGAAAAAAATATTTTAGGGCTTTCTCAGCTTGAATAGATTTAACTGAAGATTCCTCTCCTCTACCTCTTAGAGAAATTGCTCCCGGCTGAGGGAAAATGATGGTCAGTGAGGGAATTCCTACTCTTTCTGTGGGAGGTTACCACAGACAAACACAATTTCCTGGGCAGAACAGCAAAACACCACAAAACAAAGCAGCCAGGGAGACAGAGAACAGCGTGGGTAGGAGGGTTGTGTTCCAACAAACAGGAGCAGAGCCCCCAGGTGACAGCAGCTTGGGGAACCTGGAGAAAGAACTTCCGAGATACAGGCAATCTTCAGCTCAGAAAAATGAGGTACTTGGTACACTTGAAGCAGCCTCAAGCAACTCTACTTGCAGTTAGGGGACTTGGATGCTGACACACTACTTTACGCTTGACCCCAAGTGCCTGACAGCCAAGGCAAGCCTGACACTCTTAACGGACGCTTTTGAGCCAACCTCGTACCTTTAGGTTCGAATCACTCCTGCGTTAGACTGCAGCACAGAGGAGATCGCCCCTTGGCGCAGACTGACCTGAGGCTGGATCCAGCGTGTCCTCCTAACCAGTGGTGGTCGTCGGCCTCTTCGACACAGGCAGAACCTCAGCCTGCAAATGCCGTTAACTCCCCAGTATCGGTGAGGGCTGAACCCAGATCTCAAAGCATTCAAGCTCTCTGAACAACAGAGGGTAAAGAATGCTTCAAATATACTTGGCTTGGATTTCATTGACATGTACCAAATTAAAAGAAAAAAGCTTACTAAAAATATGCATCTTTATTCAAATAAGGTTATCTCTGAACTCCACGTGTCAATTCACATTAGTCAGAAACAAACATATGAAAATGTCAGCTGTTTGAATTTAAAAAAAAAAAAAACAGTAGACAGTCTTGGGTGTTACAGTAATTGATGCATTGAAAAATGTCAAATTTTCTTCAAACAGGAAGTAATTTACAAACCATATAGTGAATTTTACTTTTGAAAGATTCAGGTGTGACCATGTGTTTAATACACCCTGACCAGCACAATGAGATTCTCTTGTCGCTGCCAAATATTTGCTACTTATCATCCACACTTCAAATACGATCACTAGACTTGTTCTCCCCCATACTGTCAAACAGGTTTCCAAGGTGTCTTCTCCTCCTTGTTCTGAAATCTTACTTGATAAGAATCAAACATGCAGTCAGTGTTGGAAGAAACTTTTAGTAGCCAGCCCTAACAGGAGGCTACATTGACTGACAAATATTCTTTATGTCCGAATTTGCTGCTATCACTTCAAGAACAGACAGGGCAGAATTTGAGCTGGGCAATTGGGAGCTTTCCTTTGATCCAGTGAGTGACGAGGCAATTATGGAAGTTCCAAGGAGAGACGACTGTGGAATGAAGCATGAAGCAAAGTTACCACTTTTGGGATGTTACACTTTAGACCTTCTGCTCCCTAACACAAAGGTTTCCTAGGTGCACATGGGAGGTAACATCAGATCTCTTAGCAGCATAAACACACAAGCTGAGCCTCATACTGAAGATACAGTTGTAGGTTCAAGTTTCCCCCTAGTCACCATCCCCAGCCTTCTCTAACAAAAGCACAGGCTGTTCCAGCTTTAAAACAACGTTATGGTTGGGTAAGTTCACAGTAACAAAAAATACAGGCTTCCTCCAACTGATACATTAGGCTGTTCCTCATTATGCCAGATACATGCACCTACTTATCAAAACGCAGTTGCCAGCCTTTCTGTACAAGGGGTCCTGCGACACCTGCTGCAAGAGAGGAAGTTCTGCTCAGGTGTGGCACTGATGCAGGAAGGCTCACAGCTGAGAGGAACAACTGTACATTTTCAGAACAACTTAAGAACATATATTAAGTTTTGTCAGAAGAGTCAGGGTTGTAATAGCTTAGACTCAAGGCACCTGTAAATATTTGCTGGTGTTGAAAGAGCTGAATGGACAAATTCCTATGTGCTATTCTGGCTTATCTGGAAAGTGTTTTCGTTGATTTACCCTATTTATCCAGCAAGATTAGCTTGAGGCAGTAGTTTTCCCAATTAGTACAGAAAAATCTTCTCAAATTCAGAAATGAATCTATAAAGCTATGCCACTTACAGTACGCTCCATACTGTAGCTATGGAAATAGGTACGTAGGTAGTATCATTGCACTGGTGTAGCATAGACATCCACCTTTTGGACACTGCATTTTAAATAACAAAATATATTGCATAGATTTATCATTTCTCCAAACTGACAGGCACGATACTGCAGTGTTCTTCCTTACCTAGATTCCAGATAATTTTTGCAGATTCAGACAAACAGATTAATAATTAAAAGTGAAATATCCTAATGCATTTGTGTATTTTATAGAATTAAAAAAAAAAAGAAAACCCCACCTCATTCTAATTCTACACACAAAGAACTCAAGGACAAGGTTACCACAGATACATAAACAAGGCAAAATGAGTTAATTTCACATTCCTAATTTGGGCCATCTGCCTTGTTTCTTTCCTGAAACAAATGTTTACCTGATAAGCAGTATCAAAAACACATGTTCAATCTTATGCTTTTGATATTAAAGCAGGAATTGAGACACAAAACTGGTTCTACAATAGCTGCTGGATTAACAAACATGTCTGAAGCAACAGCTTGTGAAGAAACGGGTTAACGCCCAGTATCTGTAGTTCAGAATACTTGCCATGTCAATATTTAAATCAAAGCATCTTGTATTTGATACATGAAAGACACAAGACAGCTTTATAAAAGTAAAGACATATTCACACACTGAACACATCCTTAATAAAATCAGATTTGAAGAGGTATAAAGCAGTATCTTTGCTGAAAAAGTTCCACAAATCTCCAAACAAAATTACAGACAGACTTGAAGAAACTACTTTATCACTTTTTCTCTTGCTGCCTAATACCAAAACCCAAAATAAGGAGGTAAGCCTTTATTTGCTTGTTCTATATAGTTTGTTTTCTGTATCAGGTATCAACAGACTGTTAAAGGCCTGTGTCCACATATCAAAAAGTGCTTACATCTATATTTCATTAAGAGTTAGACTTAACTAAATAATTCTTAAACGGTTAAATCCAAGTGGCAAAGAAATGTAATGTTTATAACAAATTTTTACACCACTCCCCCAAAAAATAAAGAAGAGCAGTTGTTTGGGTTTTGTTTTTTGTCTGCTTTTGGTTTTTTGAACTGAGGAGTCAGGACACTTAGTGGCAAGCTTTCTGCACAAATCATCCATCTGCAGTTCTCATTACGAAGAACAGCCAAACCTGGATGTTTCAATTCCCTCCTCTGGAACCTTAACAAAAGAGGAGGAATACAGCATTTGCCTTCCAGTATTTATGAGAAAGTTTGCTGAAAATACAGACTTAGACAGGGTCCACAGTCTTCCCCTATCTAGCATTTGCTCCACTGCTCCCCAGTCTGTTTTTTAACTTTAGCATTAACAGTTTAAATGAGAACTCATTTTGTGTAACAAAATTCAATAATTTACAATATTGAAGTATATCAAACACTACAATTTCCCTCATTTACAGAAGCGTGTAATTTTCTGTGCATACATACTGCTGTTATGTACACACAAAAGGAACGGGTCATCAAAAGAACTTTTTGGCTGCTGCTTCTTGTTGACTCCTGAAAGAAAAAGCAGAGGAGAATTCATGAAGTCCTTACAGTATAAAACCAGCTAACTGGTTTAAATAAATATGTATTTCATTTATTTGAGGATTAAAAGATTCCATTCCTTGTCAACAGAGACTTAGGGAAATCAAATATAAGTCATATCACAGAAACAGGATATAATTTTTTCTATTTACAGAGACATTGGTAGCATCACTATAGTTCCCATTTTGCAACGGGAACAGAAGGAAACAAAACATTCTGGACAGCAGCCAGAAACTGTGAAAAAACATATGAAATTATTTTTAAAATACTTTAACTAAAATTTTCTAAAGCTTCTCAGTATCTGATTGCCCTAAAGATCATCCTAGAAAAGGAAACACACGCAACCAAGCAGTGAAACAACTTACTTGAGATGGGATTTCCTTTTCCCTCTGGCACAGAACGTATTTTTTTTTCTTAGTGGATATAGATACTGTGGATCAACCACACACAGATGCTAGAATTACAAGGGCATCAAAGAGAACCGGAGGGGACCAGCCCCTCATTTGTCTTGGAAGCCATCGTTCCAGTTGATGGCATAGCATGACATGCGTAAGAAATACACTCTCTCCACTTTGTAGAGAAGCAGACACACGATAAAAGTAAGTGCTATCAGCAGCACTGGTCTTACATTAATACTATTTATCCTTCCACAGAGGTAGCAAACGGCATTTTCTCTTTGAAGGGCAATGCAGCTATTTTGGTCCCTACTCCTTATCCTGATTAGCATGTGTGAGAAGCAGGAGGGAAGACTACCAAGCAAGTCAGTCCCGACTCTCAATAGGTTTTCCTTTCATCAATGCAAATTTAATTTGAACAGTATGATATTACAAGGAGGAGGAAGAGAACAGACAAAAAAACCCACCCCAACTAGGGCAGTGGGGGAGGAAAAAGTCCATACACTATCAATATCATATGTAGGAGAGGGATGAAGGGATACCTATTGTAAAAAAAGTTCACTGAGGAATTTTTCTAAGATAGGATAAGTAGCTTGTAGGTACACATAGAAAAAATAAACAAAAAAACAAAACATGAAAAAAACAAAATCCAGTCACATCAGATTTTGTAAAGATATTAATAAACTTCAGTAAGTCCAGCAGAGGACCACAAGAACAGTGGTCAAGAGCTGAAGCACATGCCTCAAGAGAAGAGAGGGAGGGAACTGGGCTTGTTCATCCTGGACAAAAGGGCTCAAGGGGTCTAACAGCAGCTTTCTAATGTCCACGTGATGTTATTGAGGAGACAGGGACAGTTTCTTTACAGAGATGCACATTGTAAGAAAGAGACACAACAGGGCAGGTTCCCACTAGATGGGATACTGCGGGGGTGGAGGGAGAATAAAACAAGCCTCATTATGATAAACAAACATTTTCAGTTGTAAGTTTTCCATTCTTGGAGGTTCTTAAAACCCGACCAGTCTAAACACTAAGCGACCTGGTCTGAATTCAGTGTCAACGCCGCTCTGAGCAGAAGGTTGAACTAGAGGGAACCTCTCAAGGTCTCTTCCAATCTGAACGACTGCTTGTTTTGAAGAAGATTTAACGTAATCATATCATTGCAATTGCACTTCCAGTTAGAAGGTCTAAAATTATTCTAAAATTATATGCTCTGTTGTCTTTAAAGAAAAACATACTTACCTATACATGATATAACCAACGAATAACACTGTTTGCACCGCTACAAATATGAAGAAGTGCACTGTAGATAAGCATGATGGAAACGGTGGCAAGTCTGGACATTTCGATTTCTCATTAGATGGCTAAAACCCAAAAAAAAACAGTATTTGAGAAAAAGAGCAAACAAGACATGCCATCACAAGGCTGTTATATGTAAGAAACAAAACAAGGTTTCTGCAACGTGATCTAAAAATTGGAACACAAGCAGAAAACACAGACAGAAATGACACTATTCTGAAAAATCATAATCTTACTCCCCATCTCACTTGCCCCTTTCACCTTTATGTTTCTCAGATAAACTGACTGATGTTATTTTGAGGGTCATAGGGGAAAGAATCAATCTTTAGTAAATTAACCCAGATATCAAGAACTTTCTATGGGATCATAAGCTAATTCAGCTTAATTGCTACCTAGGCTAGACTAAGGTGCTCCTGAATGCGAATGCAGTCATCTTTCACACTTAGAGACCTTAAGCAGAGCCTGCCCGAGTTTCCCCTGGTTAAAGCTCTCCCTTCTGTGCAGAAGCAATAGAGAATCTCCTCTGTATAGAGCGGTTAAGCTGGGGGACAAAGACAAAAAAAGCACCCAGAAAACCTAACTACTTGACCTTGTTTCCCCAGGAAATTAAGGCTAAAAATCATGCTCTGTGTGCAAAACTTCTCATCAAGACACAGATCATGCAGTTAGGTCAAGGCAGTGCAGTTTTAGCGAAGCAGCTTAATGAAGGATTAATTGCTCTGTAAATTGCATGCTGGCTCATCCTAGCTTTTCACTAACAGCCAAATAAAGAAGTATTACAGTCATGCTTTACACTACCAGCACATAAATTACCATATTTCGTTGCACTAAATGCTCAATGTCCCTCTTTACTACATGAAGGTGTTCTTTAATGTCATTGAAGTGCTGAGTTGTTTCATAGACTCCTGCAGCAGAGCCAGGATGCTGAGCTCCACTGATCAACCTCAGAGTATCAGCCATGGAATTTCTGAAACAAGACGAACAACAAAACATCTTTCAGCACAGAATAGCTTTGCTACAAACAGCAGTTATTTCTGGACACCTTTTAGGCCATTAAAATTAATGTGAAATACATAGCTGCCCTAAAAGGCAGAAAACATGTTTTCTAGCTTCCAAGAATACCTATCAAGAGATAATTCCCTTAATCAAACCACGATTTTAAAAAAAATATTTAATTCCACAGACAGTTTAAATTTGTACACTGCACCATCTCCCGAAGTCACGATGAAAACAAGATCTGGCAAATATTCTGTTGCTAGACATCTGCTTTGCCTGACTGATGAAGTCTAAAACAAGTGTTTTATCTGAGGCTCCTACAAGGCTTTAGGATAAGCAGAGTTTAATGCAATCTTTGAAGAAAACCAAAAGCTGTTTGAAAAATAAATAAATAAAAGCACTCATGTAAGAAATAAAAATAAAGAAGAGGCTTTAGGGATAAGAAAAGATTTAGATACATCCTTGTTTCATGATTATCATTTATATGTGAAACTCATTTCCCATATGCATTGTCATAATACTTAATATTGTCTTCATGTGAATTCATTTTGCTTCTACAACAAATCAAATTAAATCCGTAAAAAGTTGACGTTCCTTAACTAATTCTGTTTGAGGTAAACTAGTCAATGAGAGAAAAACACTTAATCTCCAATCAATATGTTTATATAATTTTCCCCTACTATGATGTCTCTTTTCAGTTGCAAAGAGGATTATTCTGCAGCCAAAATATTTGTCATGTGAATGTTAATCTCTTCATTATTAACAGAATAAACAATCAAAATGTATGTCTTTGGATTTTTTTTTTTATTTACTTAAAACTTTACATTTTGTTCAGATGAGAGCTTACTTTGATGCCTTCAAGGTAAAGTCCTAACTCTTTGTTCAGTGGTCAGCAATTTAACAGAGGATCATAGAATGGTTTGGGTTGGAAGGGATCATCTGCTCCGACCCCCCCGCCGTGGGCAGGGACATCTTTCACTCCATCAGGCTGCTCAAAGCCCTGTCCAACCTGGCCTTGAACACTTTCAATTGTAACTTTCACATGAGAAAAAAAACAAACCACAAGCCCCAAACCTGGCTCGAATACTATTCATTGAGTAAACTGGCAACAACAACATACAATCATATCCATAAGTGTTATACAAAGTTGTATTACTGATTTTAAATGGCTCGTATTCATTGTGAAAACAGCAAGTTAAGCATCAAAACTTAAATGTTTATAAATAATCTTCATAAAGATGTTGCCCATCTTCTAGCTTTGCATCCATTGCCTCTTCATGCCATTAAAATTCAAAAACCACAGAAATAAAATACAACTAAAAAACCAGGAGAAAAGAGAAAACTAGTAAGGTACTACCAGTTTTTCATAAAAATATCACTTTAACACACAAATAAACTTAACATACTAGACTACCAGTATTCTGCATACTTCCCACATAGCCAAAAAGAATTCTTGTCATTTGCAGTAACAAAAAGATCCAATAATTCACCCTTTCCTGTCATCTTTGCAAAAGCTCAATCCCACTTCCAGCACATGTTATAAGACCAATCACTCTCCATAATTACATTTCGTTATTCCAGAGAATGTACTGCACTCTAGGCCAGACGAAGTTAGCCATGGATTTCTGCAACACTCTCCACGTTTACCTCAATAAGCTCATTTTTAATATTGCAAAGTTATCAAAAGGAGTTACCGAAAGCTAGCTATTTGCTTCTGTAAGCCACTGCAAACAAAACTAATCAAGGCAGCTCTCCCCTTCTCTCATTCTACATTTCTGGTTTGGAACTTACACGTACTAGATTAATGCAAAAAAACCCCTCATCTGCCCTAACTTAAGTTAGCATATACGTTATCCAGAAATAATTTTGTATTTTCATATTGTCATTGTATGGATTATTTAAAGTAAATGGATTAATATTTGCCTGTGCATTGAATCAGTGTTATAATAGCCTATCTTAGAAGTCAGTTTTTCACTGGAAGATGTTTTTCTTAACTAACCCATGCAACCACCATCAGGACCACTGCTTAATAAATGCTGATAGTAATTCCCTCTGTCCACATCCATCACGTTGTTTGCCTTGCCCCACTAGTCTCAGTGCTAGAACACGTGTGACACTCACTTTGTTCCTCTCCCTCCTAATGCCACCATCCCTACGTAATTAACAGAAATCTGCCCGCACACCCACCTTCCCCCAGACTGATCCACTGTTTGTTAAAAGCAAAATAACTTCCCTAAATAGACACTGTATCAAATTTAATTTACATTTACTTTTGCATGAACAACACCATGCTGATAGTTTCTATTGTATGAACATGCAAGATTCTTTTGTAATCAGATGATTAAGAAACCCACAAATCTTGACAAGAAAATTACTTAGTAAGTCCTTTTCCTCCGGGATGACCAGCAGTGCAACAGCGGGCTGTTCATTTCTATCTATAAATAAAGCATTTCTTTAATCTAAGAAAAATATTAAGATGATGTTACGCAAACTCATACCTAGTAAGTAGTCACTAAAAGGGCAGACTGCCAACGTTAACAAGAAAATCTAATTTGCTTGCAAGGTATAAAGATTTGTCAAGAATATTAACATAAAAGCTTTTGTGGAAGAACAAGTGCAAAAATGGAAGCACTCTAATCTTCATTTTACAAAAAACTGACCTACTTAGATAAATCACAAGAGCTGCTCTTGAAGTAATAAAGGAAAAAACCCACAAGCGCTTATATACTACAACATCAAATTGTAGGTATTGTCTTTCTCCCATTTTTTAATCTCGAGGTAAGGAATGTTTTAACCACTATAAATGAAGGGTTAAACCAACTTAAAGACATTACTGCTAAAGGCAGTAATTGTAAAATATCTACAAGCAGTACAGACATCCCTATCAAACACAGGAATTTTCTCAAATCCATTTTAGCAGTATAGCACCTTCAACATAAGACAGTTACTTCATTTGGTAACGTAGTTTGAAAAGGTGCAGCATACCTCTCAATTGACTTTAAAAACTGCATCTTAAAAACCAAAATTACTAATCCCTTGGGAATTTGCACACGTCCCTGCAGATACAGAAGTATTCTGAGAAAGTTAACTGGCAGAAAGTCTGCTGTCAAAAAACCCAAACCAACCAAACAAAAAAACCACCCCCAGGAGTCTTAACATAGTACAGTTAGATTCCAGTAAGCTACCCGAGATTGCCAAAAAGTGAATTCACCCAGGCAAGAAAACAGGTCTGTAATTGTCCAAGTCTCCTTTAACGTGATTATCTTTTGCCACAGAAGACACCGATATATCAGTTGATAGGCCTGGTTTTCACACAGTAAGTAAAAATTAGACCATAAAATATTCATGCCCTTAAAATACAAAAGTATTTTTTTAAGTAATAGCATGCAGCCCATGCATAGAGAACAAACAGGCATTTCTAACACAGCAGAGTTTAACATTTTTTTCCCATTTTTCACTAACCTACAAGAAATGGGGGCAGGATTACAAAAATGGTCTACACAATACATTGGCACATGAAAAAAAACCCCAACACATTTCTGTCTTTACTATGCAAAGTAAGTGAAGTAATTTAATATTAGAGTGCTTTTTTTTCCCCTCCCCGTAAGTACTGTATGACAATATGCCTTAGCACCTAACAAACCAAGGAATTTTTAGTCATAGTTGGGTTTCCAGTATCTCCAAGGATGGAGATTTTATTTGTAATATTGTACAACAATAAACTCATATAATCATTATATCAGGACTAGACTGAATATATGAACAAGATACTCCAATACAACTTTTTATTTTTAGGTTCACTAGCTATAAATTGAAGGCATTTATGCTCATGTCATTATCAATACTCCAGTGAGGCAGCAGGTTAGCACACAGCAAAAACCAATTGCTTTTAGAGGGACTGGACTTACCTGCTGAAGTGGAATCTCATGATTAAAAAAAAAAAAAAAAAAAAAAAAGAGGCAAATGAGGGGGCTTAGCCACCCTAGGGACACGAACTCACTTTATTATAGAAATTAAATGTATGCAGAGAGTCATCACTAAGAAACCAATACAGAGAAATTTCAAGTTTGTCAATATTGTCTACTGAAATAATAAATAGGATTTAGAAGGTGGAAAATAGTATAAAATTCAAAACACAGCCTTGATATTTATAAAGCATTTACCTTATTTCATTTACTTGTCTAATGACCTCTTCTTGAGTTTTCACAACTGTCTCAATCTCTTGCTGGGAAACCTGGGGAAGGGGGCAGGAGAAGAAAAAGATCAACGTCTCTTGGAAAAAGCAAATTGATCATGCTGCTGAAATTAGGCTGAGCTATCAATCACGGTGATGGGAGGTTTTTTATTTGTTTACCTGTCCTTGTTGACCTGGAAAACCAGCTCCTCTTTTAGCAATCTCATCTGTGACTGCAGAGACGTACCTCCTCTGCTCATCCAGAATCATGTCCAATTGCCTATTAAGCTGTTTGATTTCAAGATGAATTCGATTCTGCCCCTCAAAGATTTGCCTCAGTTCACGATCACTTACAGTTTCAAAAAGATCATCCGCTGCTAAGGAAAAAGCATAGGTAATTCTTACATATATGCATGCCTCATAAGTTGCACTGTATCATTTTTCTTGGACCCTTCAAGTTTCTACATTGATAAACTTTTTTCCCCATAGTTTGATATATTTGGTGTTTATTTATCACCATTGCCATAGCAAAGGATACCCAAATGGCATCAGAACAACTGAACAGACACAACCACATTCAAACCCAGACTCCATCTTAGAGTTCCTATTTCAATACTTGGGTAATGTGCAACATAAAATGGAAATAGGATACTGCTATTATTAGGAGGCAGCTATCTTTGCGTAAGCTAGCTTTGTATTACCAACCATCCTCCAGAAGAGATGTGCAGGTATTAAGTAACAGCTACTTTTTAGACAAAGCAAGCTTTAAAGTGTAGCTTGAAATAGAGAAGTGACTGCACATTTTGAGTGAGTTCCTCTGCAGCTTCAACAACATCAGAAAGTCCAAAAGACTCTGTGGCAAAAAGATTATTATTTCTTACAATGGAAGGCTGGACAATATTTCAAAAACACAGATGAAGTTAAAATGGTGTAGGACCTTTAGAACAGTCATAACTTACTGTGCAAAAAAAGATGACAACCTGAAATTTCAGGTCTAAATGCCTAAAGTATATTCCTGGTATGTATGTGTTCAAATACAGCTAATTCAATCCACAAAACTAAGAAATAGACTGGTTTCCATTATATTTTCAAATAAGCAGGTTCTTTTTGCCCAGCTCTTAAAAAAATTTTTTTTAAAAAAAGCCAAACCAAGCAAACAAACAAAACCCCCACCATGTGCAATAGCAGAACAAGTCAAAGCACTGTGGCCAAACACTCAGAAAAGTGGGCAAGAGTCATTATTATAATTTTCCTAAATTAAATGTAATTTTAAATCAGTGGTAAAATGCTGTTCAGCCTGAAATATCTTTAAACCAATGCTTGCTGAGAGCTGCAGATATGTGGTATCAATAGTGGAAAGGGCAATTCTGCCTTACCCAGACAAACTTAAATTTCTTATCAATAACCCAAAATATAAAGCCCGCAGCTTTTAACAACATCAAGCTGGAAATGTGGTTATTGGCTAACCCACACAGCAGCACTGAATGCCAGCTGATGCTGTGGTGTCGAAATTGACAGAACCCACCACACACCCAGGACTAGCCCAGCATTAAAAAGCTTTTCCAAGTAAGAACATGTTCCAAGCACATCCACTAGCCCATCTTCGACAACCATCCATAAAACAAGATGGGAAAAAAAAAGTTTGTTATGAATGTGCAGAAACAGACCAAGCAGATGACCTTCCAAATAACCAAAAAGGCCATGCTTCCTCAATCATCACTTTACAGAGGGCTGCATGACCTTCTCTCTCGTCTACTGTTCCATACAGATCCTCGTCATTCCCATCATGTTTCCATTCGTTTTTGTTCTCAATCCAGGCATGACAAAAGGGACTTTATATTTCAGAAAACACTTTACAAACAAAAGACAGAAGATTCTTAAAGTAAGTAACATCAGTAGGAGCTTAGTAAAATCAGTCAGAGTATCAGGCCCTAGGTTCTGAACATCCCGGAAAGCAAACGTTTTCCTTGACAACTGAAAAGTCACTCAAATAACTTGCCTGGCTGTCCTTGCACATCAGGATGTTCCTTTTGAAATTCTTCTTTCTTTTTATCCAATTCTTGTTGAAAGTGTTCAAACTCTTCTTGATACTTCTCTTTATCTTTTTGAGGAATTTCTGCATCTGGTGTTGGCTTTAAAACATTATCAAAGGGGAGGGAGATATTTTTTCATGCTCTCCACCACTCCTATATAACTTATTCTCCAGCAAGGCTGTTCAGATTTCAGATTTGAAGACATAACACAATTAGCGGAGCACATTAATATATTAAGTTGAAGTGAGAAACCAGACATTCCTATGGAGACCCATAGCTTTTTCCTGATACACACGTACTTTCTGCGATTAAAAAGAAATCAAATTTACAAAGATAGATGCTATTTCGTGGTACAGAAGTGTTCTAGAGGTATGGTAAGTTGAAAGAAGAAGAGATTATCTGTTCGCTGTCCAAACAAAGTATACTTTTTAGTTTGTCTTCTCTGCATGTTTTGATCTAACATCAGGACTTTTGTCAATTCAGTGTTGCTTCAAGAATTCTGGTCTTGAAATTGTTAATTAAAACATTACTGAAACATTAAAGTATTAGTCTCATTTTTCTAACACAGATGACAGCACAGCTACATGCCAAAATCCTGGAACAGGGATGTCAAGTGTGACTTCAGAGGAAATGCCATAATCTGGTGTTACATGTAAAACATATACAATAACATACTTTACTAATTATGAATAAAGATGCTTACTACTTCCTTCCCAGGCTCGGTCAACTGGAAGGTCAGAAAAGACAGGACATCGTGATCATCTGTATTCAACAAACAAACAAAAAAAACCCCCCCACTGTTAGTTGCTACTGCTACACATTACAAACCCTGGTACTTCCCAAGTCAACCTTGCACTTGCAAAGGATCTCCAGGCAACAGCATCCTCCCAAAGTCCTCCCAAGAACTTATGCAGCGGGGAATGAGACTGCACAATGTCTTTGTCAGGACAAATTCAAAGTCCTTTTGCTCTAGCCAGGAAAATGTCTAAGCATATCAGTAATTTGGGAATGGGAGAGGATTAATTACATCATCACGGTCAAAAATAGGTATAATGGATGAACACTAGCAGTAAAAAAAAAAAAAAAAAAAAGAAAAAAAAAAAAAAAAAGTCTTTTGCAAGCCCTGCCAGTCTCCACACCATTTGTCACAATTTTTAACATTTGCTACCTGCAAGTCCCCCTGTTGCTGCAGATATTCCAAAATATCCTTGTGATGGCAACACCATATCGTCCACTTTAGCACAAAATTCATAGTCTTCTTTATCCGGAGTAAAGCCATTATTAATTAATACCTAAAAGGATAAATGATTACAATTTTTACCACATAAATCTATTTGTGTTAATTGCTTTGTCAGTTTACAGTAATGGTAACAAATACAACTTATTGGGTAATTCAGCAGCTGATACTAGAAACCAAAAACTGTTTCTTTTCTGAAAGACACTTTTTACAAAGAAAATGCATAAAGCTTTCTATTTTAAAATGGAAAAAAAAAGCCTGCTTCAAAATTCAGCATGAACAAGTCAACATTTTCTATTCATCACCTAAGAGGCCATACCACATAGAATTCAGACACATACAGAAAAGTATTCATTTCAATTTTAAGAAACAGCCAGACAAGTTAGTGCATGGAAAGGAACACATAGGGGAAAGGGATACCATTAGGAGAGATGAAGGAAGCCAAGGGATGGCACGGCACCGCCCAAGGGTGCTAACGGGAGCATTTACACTGTTCCAGGGAGCACTGAGGGTTACGAGCACGTCTGAAGTGCTTGTACACTGACACACGCAATATAAGAAACAAAGAGGACAAACTGGAAGCATTGGTCTGTTCCCAGAGCTATGATGTCATTGGTAGTGGTGAGACTTGGTGAAATGAGTCCCACAACCAGAGCGCAGGGATGACGGGCTATAGGCAGGGCAGGTGAGGTGGAGGTGTCACACTGTATGTAGTGGAGAGGCTTGAGTGTACAACCCTTACAGTTAGAGATGATGTGATTGAGAGCCTCTGGGTGAGGATTACGGGGATGGTGCAATAACATCAACTCTGGTTCAAGAAATTCCCAACTCAGGGATCATTAAAGGCCAGTCTATCAAAAGTATACATCCCAGTAAGGTTCTGGGCAACAAAAATTCTTCGTCTGATCTAGAAGAGTCATCCCTTACTGTTCCTAGGTTGATTCTAAGCTTAGAGAGGTTCTCTCTTCCTCCACAGATGCATTTGCAGAACTGCTAAGGCTAGCAGCAACATTTGGGCCAGAGGAGTTCCTAGATAAGGCATCAGGGGCCAAGCGCATTCAAAAAGGGAGCAACCTTGGAGTCTGAAATTTAATTTTCATTCAAGAGTAACAGACAGTTTATACCATTACAACACAGTACAAGGTCCACCCTCTTTTAGGTGCGTTCATGTTTACTTTTAGAGAAACTTTTACTACAAAATGACAGCTGTGTGTTTTGTGGCTAATACCCATGAATAGCACCTTTTTAGAAGGAATCTGAAGCAAAGAAACACACACTTGATAGCTGTCGCAAACCAGCACCACATTAGTATGTGTCCTTATCTAGAAGGAATTCACTGTCATCTGAATAGTATTTAAGAAGTCTTGAAGACTCCCTTATACCAGTGGTTTTCTATCTTCTTTAATCTTCAAAGCCCTACTATTTTTTGGAGGTGGGAAACCTCGAGTAGCAAACGTAAATCTACTGTCAAAGACCAAGCTTCAGTTTTTTAGTCACATTTCAAGAACCTCTGACAATCAGCTACAAAACCCTCTGCGGCTCTCAGATCAGCTTGAGAAATACTGTTCAAGTTAGGGAGCTGCTCAACCACTTGGAAGCTGAGGAACAGATGATGGCTTTGGGACACCTCTACAGGCAAGTCAACAGAAGGATCTGAGCATGTACATTAGCTTGACTGACTCCCAAGTAACATCAGAAAAATCAACAATACCTGCTGAGTCAGCTCAGGAAGCTACAGATGCATTAATGTAGCTAAAAGAACTCATCTAGCGTTTGAACATACTGCACCTCCTTCCAACTTCTACTGCCGAGCTCCACATTTTCAAGAACATTGGAATTAACATATGGGGTCTTTAGGTTTTGAAATAGTTGCAACAATCTCACACTTAAAAAGCTGAGAAATAGGAGTAATTATGTTATTTCAGAATACTTACCGTCAATGATTTTTGGTAGTATGCTATCTTTACTCGAACAGGATAGGGCTTGTTACGGAAGTCCCTCTGACAGGATGCCAATGCTTGCGTGGAACCATCACTATGCAAGAAGACAACTTGCATAAAACTATATCTTATGATTTATTAGCTAAGACAAAAAAGCATCAGTGTATCACTTAGCAACATCATGCTAGTTTTTCAATACGCAAGTTTTTCAAAAGCTGTCCCACAACTGCACTGAGCTTTTCTGAAGTCTGGGATCAACAGCACCAGATGCTTTACAAAGGACACAATACAGGTAGAATGCAGTAATGGGGAAATCTGTTTGCTTCTAAGACATATTCCTGCACTTGTGAACCGAGATGGAAATAAGCTATGGCCCAGACTGCACCAACTAAGCTAGACACCTCTCTTCGCAGAAGATCTAAAAAGATGTCGATTGTGCTGCTGACAATAAACAATCAGGAATCAAAATGAAACCAACTAAATTTAATAACAGGCAATTAGCTTTCAGTTAGTCACTTTTGGCAGTTATTAGCCATGTGTGGAAGATATCCATAACAGTGAAGAGGTAAAAAGTCTGTACCTCCATTATCTGAGTTCACCCGTGAAAAGGACACATGCCATTTAAATACCCATCAGCTGCCAATTTCTGTGCTGTTACTGCCAAAACAGTGTTTTAACAAATAGAAAAACTCAAATGTAAAGGAAACAACATCGTTTCATATGAAAGAACCTCCATGTTTCTCAAAGAGTTTCATGCAACATTTCATCATTCAAAAGCAAACATTCATCGTTAACACTGAAAATAAACTTACTTCTGATGGTCATACAGAAGTTTTCCATTGTTGCCTACAACAATCACTCCAGGATTGTTTTTCTAGAAAAAGAAATAGTAAATAAATGGAATAGTTTAATATGAAGTGAAACACAAGTAACATCACTGACAGCCTTTCTGTGATACAACACTTACACTACAGATACACCACAGATGGTTTTATTCTTTCTGTACTTCAGGATTACACAAGCAAAATGACAGAGTAGCACTGTGTCATGCTGCATGCTTTGCAAGAGACTGCTACACTCTTTGCATAGTCAGGGGTGAGAAAACCCACACAAATCAAGTTCCTGGATATACTACCAACTACCATCATTTGACAAATACAGAAATATAAAAGCCACAGATAGGAGAAATTCGTATGTAGTGAAGATACAGATCTTAAAACTAACAGATGACTTAATACACCCAACTTTGGCTACATAACACTGGAAAAAACCATCCAAACAGACACTATGTTCACATCCTACTGCTCTTGTCACAGTCATTAGAAAAACCTTAGGAGCTATCCGTCAGAGACTAAACAAAGCCAGCTGAACACATCCCCAGTTATTTAAATTGCTAGAGGATGAGAACAAACTAAAACATAATGGCAGAACAGATTTCCAGTGCTATTGCAATTGCCTCCAGCAGTTTATGGAGTGAACTCCAGGTTTTACAAGAGCACAAGATTTCAGAGTTAATCTCCCTTCCCCCTTCAACATTTCAATTCATCATCTCCTAAAGTGTACTGGTTTTAGCTATCATCGAGCTAAATTTCTTCAGTGATAGCTTGTATGGGGCTATGTTTTGGATTTATGATTAAAACAGTGTTGATAACACAGCAAAGTTTTACTTATTGCTTACACAGCCTCAAGGCCTTTTCTGCCTCTCACCCACCAGTGAGAGGCTGGGGGGCACAAGGAGTTGTGAGGGGACAGCTGGGACAGCTGACCCAAGGGTATCCTAGATCGTATGGATCACGCTCAGCAATAAAAGCTGGTGGAAGGAGCAAGAGGGGAATGTTTGGAGCGATGGCGTTTGTCTGCCCAAGTCACCGTTACGCGTGATAGAGCCCTGCTGTCCTGGAGATGGCTGAACCCCTGCCTGCCAAGTGAATTCCTTGTTTTGCTTTGCTTGAGTGCATGGCTTTTGCTTTCCCTATTAAACTGTCTTTATCTCAACCCACAGTTTTCTCACTTTTACCCTTCCGATTCTCTCCCCCATCCCAGCAGGGAGGGGTGAGCAAGCAAGCAGCTGTGCAATGCTTAGCTGCCTACTGGGGTTAAATCATGACATAAAAGAATACACTGTCCCACTAGACAGCTTACCAGCTCTTTAGAAGAGAAAACAAGACTCAGATTCTAAGAATTCAAGAAATAATGTCCTTCTCAATTCACAGTGTTGGGGTAGGGTGGTCCTTTGTCTTATAGAAGCCCACTACAACCAAACTGTTTCTTTTCCTTCACCACACAGATTGTGACAACAGAACAAGTACACTGGTATACAGAAATACATCAATGTTTCTACTTCTCAGCAATGAAGTTTGGTTAGCTTAATTGTTTTGACATCAGTATTACCTGCTCAGTGCCACCAGAATACTTCAATGTCATCTTCTTACTGTTTATTTCAGTTTAACAACAGTAATACTGAATTAGTTCATAGCATACACACACATACTCTGCACAAAGGGAGCACAAACAATACAATTTCAAACCACTCATGAATGCAACTGAAGTCTAATCTACCTTAGAGCACAGCAGACAGCTACTAACAAAAGTATTCAACGCTAATGGTCGATGGGCAGTCCAATGTCTGCTGGGGTTCTTGTATGGATGCAAGCACACCCAAGAACTTGAAAGACAGTGGGGAATAACTCCTCAATTTTTTGCCTCCAAAGGTCACAGGAAAGACGTGCAGTCAACTCTTGCAATATTTAGTGTGGTTCTTACAATTTCAACTGTTCAGAGCTATGAAGCTGTATTTCTCTTTAAAAAGCTCTTGTCACTACTTCTACAAAGAAACAAAAACTCAACTCTAGTATAACCTAGAGCCTTAGAAGGAAGAGGAAAAAAAGCTTTGCAGTTTTTAAATCAGCATCATAACCAGTGTGCTTTGAGTTAGCAGTACTAGATGAAGTCTACTTCTGGATGCTAGCATATCAGGCTGGGGAACAGCACCAAAAAGAATTTCTCTGTACCGGGACTGAAGAAAGTAACAGGTTGTCATGAAAAAAAGTCTTACAAACTTCAATATTTAAGACATGTCAGACCAATAAAGGCACGATGAAGACTTTTGTTTTGACTAGAAGTGACACGTCATCACTTTCTGAAATAGGGTTTCACACCACAAAGTTCTAGCAAACAGTGTTGTCCACATGCAATTTTTGACAGCTGGCATCTTCAGCCAGCTAAACTATGCCATTGTCCATATTCCTGCCAGAAGCCAGAAAAAAAAGGAAGAAAAAATAAAAATTAAAAAAAAAAAAAAGGATTTAAATTCTATGTCTTGTCTTTGAAGATCAGAAACATAAACATCACCTTCAGTCTTCCAACTTTTATATAGGATTAAGTTTGCTATATATCAAAAGCCATATGTAGGAAAAAAAGCTTGTACACCTACAAAAATTTATCTAAAACATCTAAAAGCAAGCCAAAGTAGTGCAGGAAAAGCAAAAGAAGCAAAGCAGACCTACTATGTATCGTCAAAGTTTCCCAGGATCGTTCTGGACTGGAAAACTGGAAATTCAAAACAGCAACTGTCACCCCCATCTGCTACAGAATTTTTGCTGCTGAGCTACTCAAGGCAGATTTGTTGCAAGAAAAAGAGCATCTCTGAAGACAGAGACACACAGTTGTGTTTCCACAGTGTCGTATTTGGTACAATACGCCTCTTCCAAAGCACCCATCTTTAGATATATCAACATTTCAAATTGTGCATGGACATTCCAAATTTCAGCTTGTACTTATGTACATGGCATTTTCCCTCCAAATCTAACACATTAAACAATGTACAGATTCATTATGTGTTACGCTTCAACTTTCAAGCTTAAAAAAAAAAAAAAAAGTTTAAAAAAGTCTAATAAAGAAACCTGTAAGGAAGCTTGACTATTTTAATATATCTTTTCAAAGTGAAGGGGGGGGAGAGTAGGAAAATAACATCCTATTTTTTTTCCCCACAGTTATATGTACAAAACAGGCAGAAAATTAATTTATAATCCTTGCTAGAAGAGTTTGCTTCTGACTAACCTTTCCATCATTGTCAAAGGAATCAAAGAAAATTCCAACACCATTCCATTTATCAGCTGCCCCGAAAACAGGACCTTCCAAGCCTTGCTCTTCTGTAAACCAGATTGCCTATTAGAGAAAGCAAGTAACAGTCATAAGTCAAGATTCACTATTTCAAGTATGTCTATTTTTTTTCAGTTAGATCAAATTCTCAGTACCAATCCATCAGCTCCAATGCGGCCTCTTCCTGTAACTCGAAAGGTCACTTCAACTTCCCAATATTCAAATACTGACTTGGTTTTTGTCCACACTGATCCTCTTTGGCTTTTCAAAGATGTTGTTATACGAATCTGATCTGCACTTGGTATGGCATCTAGAAAGGAAAGGAACCAACACTGAATACATGGAAGAGAAACTATTGCAAGTGCTTATATAGCTAATTAACAAATCCTCTAAATTGACTAAATTTTCTGGTCTCCTCAACTAGAGAACAGTTTTTAAAATAACTTTTTAGTGGAGTACTCAACCACTTGAGAGGGGAAGAAAAAAACCCAGACCCCCACACCTCTACTTTCAACAGTTTGATTACTGCTGCTTTACAGAAGACTTAATCACCTTCCATTTGGGACCACATGCACAACTTAAATGGAACATTGGTCTTGTTGTCAAGATATGCATTAAATTCATTAAAAAAAAAAAAAATCAGGTTTAGCTTTCTGCTGTATCCCACATGATTTTCAAAAATCACGTATTTCTGTTCTGTTTAAAAACAGATGCTCTAATTTTCCGTTTTAATAGTTTAAAAGAGTAACAGGCATACATTTGGAAAGTTAATTTATTCACTTGTATTAAGTAACATTTATTTTTGTGACTATCTGCTTAAAAAAGCTTGTCTATAGACAGTTTCCTTCATGTCACTTGTAGCACAACAAGTAAGAGTCAAAAGTTAACACTCATGAATTAACAAAAATAAACTAAAGTCTGCCAAAAAATAGAAACACAGCAGAAGTTACTGCAGAGAAGCTACACTAAGACACAGTATCTTATGCACAGTAAATGGAACCTTAGGCACAGTTCAGATCAGTACATCTCACACGGGTGGGGGGACTTAGGCAAGGCTAGATGGTTTTTTGAGTACAATCAAAACCTCAACCCCACAACATACACAAATCGCATAAACTACATCCAGTGAAGTCGTGTTTGCCGAGGCACACTTCCCATGTCAAGCTTTTGCATTAGGGAAGGCAGCAGGGTGGCGGCTCGTCCCAGGCGCGGCGCAGGGGCGCCAGGCCGGCTGGTTTCGGGCAGTGACACATCATCAGTCCGCAACGGGGAGCGCGCAGCGCC